TATCCCGCTGTCGCCTGCTTCATTCCGAGCTATGTGATGAACCCTGGTCAATTTACTATTATTCGATAGATCTCATCGAGTCTATCTGGCACAATTGTTTTCTCAACTGGCACAACTTTCAAAATGAATATTTTGTCATAATATCGACGCCAAACCCTCTATAACAACCTGTCGTTCTGCTAGACCCCGACCTATGTGATGGAGCTCGGTGAATTTTATGTTATTCGATAGATCTCGTCGAGTTCTATCTGGCACAATTGTTGTCTCATGTGGCACACGTCTTGAAACGAATGTTAGGTCAAAATACTGATTTTTGCACTAAAATCAGTGTTTTGAAAGCAGTATTTTGAATTTTTTAGCCCTTCCTGACGATGGAAATTCTTTGAAAGTGAGTCATTGCACAGGATATTCGATACTCTATCTGGCACAACTACGATCTTGTTTGGCACACGTCTGTTGTCCAATATTTGCCCAAAAAACTCGAATCTGCTGCTAACTTTACTTGCGTTCCAATGATATGTCTTCCATTGAGCCTATTCGATTTTTTGACAAATTTATATTAGTGATAGACCCTTTTATCATATTTAGCAGAGAAACGCTTTAGTCCTTGTTCATATGAACTATTGTACTTGCTGAGTGATGAAGTAAATTTATTGATCATAGAATTGAAGTTGTTCCTTATTTGATGTCTACACTTGGACCCACAGAACTGAAATACAAGAATCAGCATAAAAAGAACAATCAACACTTTTTAATACATCAATTGACATCCATTTCTATCAACAGATAAGAACTCAATGAGAAGGACCAGACAAGAGTATTTGGAAGAGAATAAAATGAAGATGGTCGGGCTGATAGATCTCGTCCTATAGCATTTCTTTATTTCCCAGAACAATAAAAAACGAATGATGATAAATGCTGTATGGCAGCATTGTAATAACATTTACAGTCAACTCACACCCAAGTGAATACTGTTCTTTCAATCATGCTCAAGTTGTAAATGTCTTTTGGCAATAGCAATGCTAGCCCTATACTGAGAAACTGCCAGATCATCATTGGATAACCCTTTTAAAGCAAAATCGAGTGCTTTTTCATAATTCTTCAATGCCATTTGATAATTAGATAAGAAAAGGTATAGAGTACCAATATTATGATAAACAATAGCAATATTCTCGTAGTCAGATAATGGTATACTTTGAGTCAATTTTGTTCTTAATGACCTTTTAAAGTAATTTAATGCTCGTGTGAATTTGTTAGATCGAGCATAGATACCAGCTATGTTATTATAAATTTTGGAAAATAAGTCTGAATTTGGTAATTTTTGCTTTCTATTTTCATTCAATGCTTTTTTATAAAATTTTAATGCATTGTTATGCTCGTGTTTGTCATCATAAATCCATGCAAGATTATAATATATCGATGCTGTTTTCTTCCCTTGCTCTTTACAAATATTCAATGCTTTTTTATGACTGAGTAATGCATTTTGATAGTCGCGCTTCTTGTGATAGATCCGACCCATTCTGCTGTACATATCTACAATTATTGAATCAATTTTTGACGGAAATTTGAATGAATTCTGATAATTTTCAAGTGCCATATCGAAATCTTTTTTATCATCATAAATTAATCCTATTTGATAACAAAGAGGTCCTAATTCTGGTTCGTTATTTGTGGCATACTTGAGTGCTTTTTGATAATAAAGTAATGCATTTTCATAGTCATCTTTCTTATGATAAATAGAACCAATACTGATACAAGTTGATGCTAAATAAATCGATTCGAATTTCAATTGCAAATTCAAAGCTTCCTTGAAATATGTTAATGCTTTCTCATTATCACCATCTTTACTATAGACAAATCCCATTGTGCTCAACGTTTCTTCGATCAAAGGATGATCTGATTTTAAGCATTTCTTTCGAATATCGAATGATTTTTCGAATTGAATAAGTGCATTTTTCAAGTCATTTTTTTTGTCATAAATTTGTCCAAGACCAAAATAAATTTTTGCCAAATCTAAACTGGAATTCGATTCATGGGATTGCAACTCAAATTTCAAAGCTTTATTGTAATATTTCATTGCTAGTCTTATATTCGACTTATTGTGATACACAGTCGCAATGTCATAATATACAATTGCTAAGAGTTTGGTATTTCTTGCAGTCGATAGTGCTAATTTACTGGCTTTTCTGAAATATTTCAGCGCTATTTTATACTTTTTTTGATCTTCATACAGTACTCCAATATTACAGCATGATATCACTGCTTCTACTTGCACCCGAGGCGAAGATAATAAATTGCATTTAATTCTTAATGCTTTCTTTTGATTGATCAGAGCAGACGTAAAATCACCTAGATCACTAAAGGATGCACCAATGTTGTTGTAAACGGCAGCTAAATCTATATGATTTGGAGGTAGACATTTTAACAAGATATTCAATGACTTTTGATGATATTCTAATCCTTTTTGATGATCATTACTGTAATCATAGACTTGACCAAGATTACTGTAACTTGTTGCCAAGCTTCGATGATCACTTGGTAAAGATTTGAGCCTAATCTCAAGACTTTTTTCAAAATATACTCGAGCCGTTTCAATATTTTGCATTGAAAGATAAACTTCTCCAATGTTGTTGTATGTATCTGCTAATTCAGGACTTATTTCTGTGTAATATTTTTTCATAATGTTTAATGCTTTCATGTGATATTTTAAAGCTAATATTTTCCTTCCTATTTGGTTATAAACACTAGCCAAATGACCAAATGTCGTGACGAAATGAACTTTGTAGTATGGTTGATGCTTCCGTCGGATCCGAAGTGTTTTTTTATGATATTTCAATGATTGCGAATAATTACCTAGTTCTTCATAAACATACCCAATGTCATTGTAAATGGCTGCACGTTGAACGAAATCATGTGGCATTATCAATCGATGCAACTTCAATGCCTCTTTATGATTTTGTAAAGCTTGTAAATATTCACCGTTTTCTCGATATATTCCTCCAAGATCATTTTTAATTGTTATAACATCAGGATGACTAGATGGTAGTTCATTAAGTAATAAAGTATAAAACTCTTCTGCTTTATCTAAATCATTCATTTGATATAGAAATCTAGCCAATGTTAAAACATCTGCTGTTTGGTCGATCTCAGATTTTAATTCATCAATTAATTCATCTTTTATTGAGTTTGTTTCATGTTCACATAAGATTAACTTAACAAACCAAATATCATCAGTATATTGTTCAACAGATTCAATTCGGAATGTGGTTCCGATTGTAAATAATATCTCATCTTCTGTTTTTAGGTAACTATATTTTTGTATATTAGCATATGGTTTTGTTGATAATTTTATGGGACATTCAATTTCGAAAAGAACTGATTCAATCAATGGTCGACCAGTGCCATGACCGGCAAACTCTAATGCTGTAGCTGATGATAAACTTGTGGATGTAAAACTATTCATTGCTATTCGACCATTAATATTTTCCTTTAATTTGGTTAATTCTGAGATTGTTAATCCTTGACCTCGATAAACAGTCAAATTTACAGTCTTATCTAATGAATCGATATACTTAACATGTAAATCTGACAATCGATTATGCAAATCGACAAGAACGAAACGAAATCGAAATATTATTGAAATATCTCGTGTTCTTAAAGCTCGATTCAATAAACGATAAAGAAACGCATCCCGTGTGTACCATTCAATAACATTATCTGCATTATATGTATCTTCAAACTCTTGTATTTTACATAATTCAATATTATCTCCTTGGTATTCTTGCCGACATTCATCCAGAAGATCTTTTCGCGAGACAGATGTTAATGGCATACGATTTAATATGTCAATCAATAATTGATTCCACATGAATAATGCTTCTTCTTCATTTAAATTATAACATGATGTTTCCTTTTTTAATTTTTTTTCTGGTACCACTGTTATTGGTATCATTTTTGTATAAAAATCAATATCTGAATTTAATTTGGTTAAAAGTTGTTCTTTATCAACAAAAACACCTCTTAATTTATTTGAGTATAGTTCGGTCCATTCTTTATGTTTTTCTTCATCTTTACAAAATATATAAATAAATGTAATGTTTGTTTCATCATAAACAAATGGTAAGATCTTTCTTCCATATGAACCTGGTAGTATAAGAAATAATTTTCTAGAATTCAATTTGTTTGAAAATAAATAATCTACACATGAGTTAATATCATCGAATTTTTTTAAGTAATTTCCAATAGAACGTAAACGAGCTTTTCTACTTAAATAATCACTATTTTTCGGGTCAAACCAGATAACTTCTATACCTTGAATAGAATTATTGCTAACCGGTTTATTTGACTTTTTTTTTGATAAGCGAATTTGTGTACACATTTTTGCGTTTTTTGTCGCAGATGCATCCAAAGATAACTTTCGTTTTCGTTTCTTCCGTGTCAAAGATGTAGTATTTGACTGATTGGATCGGTCTTTTTGAAAAACATTATCCATTAGTTGAAACATTTCCACTGGATAGTCTGGGATTTTGTTTTATAAACTTTCCCTTTGATTCAGGTTAGTTTGTTGCCCAATCAAATTATGAAATATATGATAGATGTTACCCGAAAATAATATATTTCATAAATAGCAGTCAATATAAGAAAATTTTTTCCATAAAATATCTACTTAAAGAGAATAAACATACAACTTTCTCAGTGCTGCAGTCTTCTACAGTAATTTGATAGAAATACGAAAAAGTAAAAACAAAAGCGTGCGCATTTGGTTTGTTCTTTTCAATAAAAATATTGTATGCACAATATTGCTTACGGCAAGTAAAATAGAGAATTGTTTTTGTCACATTCAAACAAATTGTGAATATTAATCCTTTTAATAGAATCAAATTTAGAATTTATCTTAACTTCAATATTCCACTATCTACATCATTCGCAGTAACAATCACAACGCATGAATAACCCTTCAACATTTACATTCAATAATAATCAGGAAAATAATAGCAGAAAATATTTGAGAAGAGTGTCAAGAAAGAGAAACGCAAAATTGTGAGTTGGTAATAGAGTTGCATGTGTATGCTGATGATTACAAGAACACGTGCACTCTCTGAGGCAAACACTCTGTGTGTGTACATATTCTTGTAACCGTTTTACATTCACTACCCTTCCGTCAACTCATTATTTTATGCCTTTATTTCTAGACAGTGTTCTTTACAATTCTTTTCTCTTTCTACTTTTATTATTCTTGAGGGTGTGGGTGTGGGTGTGGGTGTGAGTTTTCGCTTTCTCACCACATACTCACCCACGCCCACACCCACACCCACACTCACACCCACACCCCACACCCACACCCCAAAGCACCGAGACAATTTTTATTGTTGAAATAATTCAGTTTTATCGTCACAACGAAATCATTTGAACTTCGGTTAATTTTTCAAACGAAAATGTAATGTAACAAGCAGCAAAATTAGACTCTTTTTTGAGAAATTAATCAAAATCTCGTTGTGAGATACCTACTGAAATATAAATTGAACTTATGTCACTCGTTGAGTGAACATCTTAGAGTTTGCTAGATGTTTAATAGTTTACTGTTGATGTTCTTTCGATTACAGAGACACTTTTCTTTACTTTTATGAATTTCAATCCTTCCCATGCATGATTTTCGATGGTCGGTTATGTCGGCATGATGCTCCATAGAATTGTCAGTGATTTTTCTTTTGAAAATACTGCCCAAAAAGCAATTTTACTCGAAAATTTTGCGAAAAAATGTTCAAAAAATGACAAAAAAATCCTAATAAGCGTCCGGACGTCCGAGTGCGTCCGATCTCTCTCCTGTCCAGAAATGTCTGTTTTCCGCTGACCCTCCTCCCATTTTCCCGGACGTCCCTTATGGATGGCCCCTTATCGCAGATGATGGGTCGTTAGAGATATCATCGAGAGTCAATGGATTAATCAGAATAGTGCTCTCGTGGTGTATTGGATTCAAAAGTGACTTGTAATCTTCAATATTGTGCGGCAATGTGCTGATTCGATTGGAGTGAGCAACATAGGCAGCACTAACCATTGTAAGAAGCAATGAATGGGATTCGAACGTAGTTATGCCCATGGCCATATCTCTAATCCATGATGATGATATGAGCCGAAGATCTTTCCATTTCTGGAATGCACTCTCATTGAATTGTCTTGGTAAATCAACATCACTTAGATGACCGACAGTAAGTATTTTTATCGAACGCTTTTTCAATTTTCCATCGATAGACATGACTGGATCACGTAAACTTATCAAATTCAATTCAGCCAGTTCAATAGGTGATGATGTTTGAATAGCAGATTCCAATGATTCACATTCGATGTGGATATCGAATAAAGCTTCTACCTGTGGATTAATTTCAATTGGATGATTGATTGAACCACTTGGTCTATTGATGGATGCCACTTTCATAAATGGTTGTTGTAATTTAACTGAGTCAACATGAAATCGTAATACTTTTGCACCTTTATTTTTTATCTTCAATAATGGTCGTGTGATTCGACCTTTTTCAATCTTTCCCCATTCAATCATAGTTTGAGGACGTGACTGAAACATTGGGCTCCTCACTTCAAGAGAAAATTCGATCATTTTTGGTTGAGGCCAACAGTTTGATTGGAGTTGAATCTCACCTTTCACATCACACAAATCTATCGGTTGATAAACGAAATTTATTTTGACATCAGTATCCAGTACAATCTTTAGACAATCTGGTTCCATACTAAATTTGATATCTTGTTTATTTTTCGATATAAATCGAGAAAATGACAATGTAGCCACTCCTTTACTTCGATTTCGAAATGTTTCTTCGAATATGATTGATTTCAAAGATTTATCTTCCTCATAACACAATGCTTGTAGATGAGCCGCTTGACTGATTTCAATAATCTTTGTTATCTTAGCAGGTAAATCTAGTCGAGGTATTGATGTTTCACAAATGATTTCTAATGTATAATAATATTTAATGTTAAGAAATAGAATAAGGATAGGAAACTTTCGTTGAACTTGCGATGATAAGTGAAATTCAATAGTAACTGCAGTCGATTCATTCATTTTTAAATTTTTATTTTCACATTTCCATGTCAGATCTTGCGATTTGAGGAAAAATTCAAAATCTGTCGCCCCAATATTTTTGAATTCAAATGGAATAGATCGATGTTCACCTATGTAGAAATCTGATATAGTTAATGTCATTGCTGACGATAAATTTTCGATCAATGGGCGATTTCGATAGGCAATGCAGAGTCGAGGACGACGAATGCATGCTTTAACTTTCAGCCATTTAATAGTTTTCGATGGATTGATAGCCAAACAAATAGTCGCTTCAAACTCTTCTTCATTGCTGTTATTTTGCGATGGTTGAAGTTTCAAATAGAGAGCTGTTATCGCTTTCCCATCCAAAATCAATTCACCTTTGATAATATCCAATTTTGAATGATAGGTATTTTCATCTATTTGTATTTGAGCCTTGATATTTAAAGTACAATCTAATAAATTTTTCAATTCAATCGATTTGGGTATAGGTTTACTACAACAAGGTACTCGTCCAAAATCAATGGTCCAAAATTCTTTATTATCTTTGTCTAATTTCACTGCACCTGATCCTATTTCAACATCAGCTTTGATCATGTGAACATGTAATTGAATTGCGTTCGGTATTATTTTATCATTAATTTTCAAATCCAACATTTCAGTGATTGGACCTATAAACTTCTCTGGTAATTTGAAAAGAACATCGATTTCGCCCGCATCTTGCATCGGTACAATCATCTTATCTGGCACCATATTGAAATCGAATTTCATATACGTTGATGTATTTCTGTGTTGTTCGATTTGAATATTAACATTTTTATCGGTCTCATTGTGCAGAATAATTCGTTGAGTGAGACGTTGACGAATACCGCTGAGTACAATGCCAAAGTCAACGCATGCCAATTTAGGATCACAGTTGATATTGTTTGTCTGTTGTGATGTTTCATCGGAAAAATGAAGCCAAACATGAGCATCACCAGCCGATTTCGAATGCAAAAATGCATCTTTTACATTTGTTTCTATTGCTAAAGAAATTGACATTAAATAATAGATTTCTTGCCATTTATTTGCTTTTTGATTTATAGTTTGATAGATATATTGAGCTTGTTGTGTCGTCTTTGCCCATGTGTATATTCGATTGGAATTTTCATTAGTCTTCTGTAAGGGTGTGGGTGTGGGTGTGGGTGTGTGTGGGTGTGGGTGTGGGTGTGGGTGGGTATGGGTGTGAGTGTGGGGTTGGTGTGGGTGTGGGGTTGGTGTGGGTGTGGGTGTGGGTGTGGGTGTGGGTGGGTGGATGTGGGTGTGGGTGTGTGGGTGTGGATGGGTGGGTGTGGGTGTGAGGATGTCGGTGTTGATGATGTGAAGATTAACACTCACACCCTCAAGTAAACTATACATCATTTTTTCTATTAATGTTCGATATTGTCGTTTGATGGGGATTTATACAAGAGACACATATCTTTTTATTCATTGTATCATGAATGTTTTCATTATAAACATTAAGAATTTGTTGAAAAAACTTTGATACAATTCTTTTATAGTTCGAAACGTTATAGCTTTTGATTGAAGTTAACGATGATATTTTGAAGCAGTGTTTGTCAGTGTTTTCCTTATTAATATGACCTGTGAACACTCCTTTATCACTAATGAAAGAATTAGTTCATTTAATCAAAATATAGCGAAGATTTTCAATTTTTTCCTTCGGTAAAGTGACTTTTGGATCACCATGTACATTTCAAAATACTCAAACAAAAGAACAAAATTGAAACAAAATCAGAAAAAAATTGAAAAGTCAGAAACAACCAAAAAAAACCATAAAGTGATTAGAGAAATATTCAAAAATCTAAATTTTTCCTTCTAAATAGGGGATCTAGCGATCCTGGTTATAGTCAAATTTTTGTTAGATACCGAAAAGAGATTGAATGTAGAAAAAAAATCCCAAAAATCAGGAAAAAATCAAAAATCAGAAAGTAATCGGAAAAAAGTTCGAAAATCGGAAGAAATCGGAAGGTCGGAAAGTCATCGGAAAAAACTTCAAAAATCGGAATTTTTCCTGCGAAATCGGAAGATCTGGCCACTCTGTTCCCCTCCCAGTTTATATATGAGTTGATAGCCCTAGCAAGGATGTATCACATGCTGGT